ACAACGAAGACCATAATTCCTTTTCTGATTCAGTTTGGTTGTACTCTGTCACGGGAGCCAAGGTACATCAGTTGCAGCTGAAGAAAACAATGCACATTTGTGTTTGGTGTCATGGATATCATGCCCGAGGCATCATCAGGAGTGTGCCAATAGAACAGAAAAGCCCGACTTCATTTCTGATTCATTGCGGTTCTATTCCGTCACTCGAGCAAACTTAGTTTTCGGCACAAGAAAGATAAGAAACTGGACACACAATAGACGAAGAAAAGTTGGAAGCAACAGCTCAGGAAATTGAAGCCGCACGCCAGACGAGTGACAGGAGCATGATCGAGCTCTCGGAAAGACTAGGAATGCTGCAGGAGAAATGGGAGACGTCTCTTGGCAGGAAGAAGAGGTCCCAAGAGAGAAGTACGCAGAGTATTTTGAAGACCAGGAGAAGTTGAAGCAGGAACGCTTGGAACAGAAGGACCGTTTGGAGGAAACCGAGCACCGGCGAGAAGGACATGGTTAAGGAACTCCATCGTCGACTACCTCACTTACAAGGTCGCAAGGAAACACAAAAAAAGAAGGGAAGGAAAGACCCGGACCAGCACATCAGCCAGTACAACGACAAGAGGTAATTTTAGCTGAAGGAACAGATGGAGAAAGACACCAGGTTGTTTGAAGAGAACGAGGACGAGTACTACACCCAAAGCTACCCAGGACCAGAGGAACCAAGAGAAGAAGGAACAGGAAAAGCCGGAAAGCGACGAGGACATCAAGGCCAAGATCAAGAAGGTCATCGAGGAGCTCAGAAGGAAGGCAACGGAAAGCAACGAAAAGGAGAAGGACTTTGTCTACCCCACGGACATGAGCCAGGAGTACAAGTACTACACAGAAGGAGGACACATCTGGCGGCAGTCCCATGCCAGAAGGGAAAAGGAATGGTGGGACGATGACTATGTCTTCGAGCACGAGAAAGGAAAAGGAAAGGACCAGTACGGAAAGAAAGGAGGACAAGGAAAGGAAAAGCCAAAGAAGGAGAAGCAGGAACAGGAAAAGCAACCAGGATTTGTGCCCAGAAACGAGGAAGACAGGCAGCACTGGGACCGAATAGGCAAGATACAGGAGCAAAGCGCAGACAATTTACGTGATCTACCAGTACCGCGACAAGCGCTACCAGTGGAAATGGAACCAGGACAGTTTCTTTTGGTACTACTACGACGTCTCAGTGAAAAGGTGTTTGAAGCAGTTCAAGGACCCCAAAGGCGGAAAAGCGTGTGAGGATCAGCAAAAGAAGATGAAGGCAAACAAAGGAGGAAAAGGAAAGAAAGGAAGCCAAGGCACAGGAGAAGGCAAAGGAGAAGACCGAAACCAAGGAAAAGGAAAAGGAGAAGACCAAGGTGCAGGAGAAGACCCAAGTGCAGGAAGTGAGGACCCGCACCTCCAGTGAGGAAGCCAAAGCAGAAGGAAAGCAAAGACAGAGGAGATCAAAGCAAATGAAGCAGCAAAGCAATCAACAAAAGAAGAAAGCATCAAAGAAAGCTCAAGCAAAAGAGACGCAGTGAGACCTCTTTGGCCAAAATGAAAAGAAGTGAGTCAGCAGCCCTGCTTCAACTGCAAGACACCGTGCAAGGATTGTGTAACCGTTCGCACGCGTAGAACTGCTTATGCGTGGCTGAAGGATGATGATCCAAGTAACTCACTAGTCACGCAACACAGTTTTTGTACAGGAGCGAGCTTGGAGAGTTTGCCAGTGGGCCCTAGAGCCCTAGAGTCTGCGAACGAGGAAAGAGTGTTTGCAACAGTGTGTTTTCAAGGAAAGAGCGAGTCGAAGCCAGTTTGGTCTAGGAACAACGTGCACTAACTTCGAAGGCGGGGTATTAAGCATTCTACCTGCATAGGAACACACAGTTTGGCATGTAAAGGAATGTAGAGAATAGTGAGCCAGGAACGCCTCCGATGCCAAGGCTCAAAGACAGCGACCACCCGTGCAGGTACAAGCAAAAGACTTGTGCGGTGCTGTGAAGTAGGAACCCTTAGTGTAGCTCGTTCTTGAACAATAAAGCTGAACTGGGATCCTTCCGGTGAGTTACATCACACCTTCGCGTGCACTGGCATGCCTGCTGTATCATGTATGCGATCTCGCTTGCCCTGTGTGCCTGAGACTGCTGCCTGCATTAGGGCGCTCACAGACATGCCTGCGAGGCACATGACGCACCGAATTAAGCAAAAGCATCATGTCTGTTCTGGGCAACAAGTACATCTCGCTTCCAGCTTTTCTTCGTCTGTTGCTTCTACCAACTTCTTATCTCTTTTTCGTGCCGAAATCTGGGCTTGCTCGATTCACGGGGCAGAAGCAAACTGAATCATGAAGGAAATCGGGTTCTTTGCCACACTCCTGATGATGCCTCAGGTCTCCTATCCAAAATGCGAAGAACAAGCCCCATTGTTCTCTTCCGCCGAGACCGAAACCTATGTTCAATCGAGTGACAGAGTAGAGAAGAGAAGAATCAGAAAGGACATCGGGTTCTTTGTTGTTCTAGCTTTGGGATCTGGCTGCAGACCCGTTTATCAAGGGAATCATGTGGCATGTGCCATGTCTTTACCTCTAGACTCTAGACTGTGGCTGCAAGCCGCTCATTCAGGAGAATCTTGTCGACCAGCTCAATGTTTCAAGCAAAATTTCCACAGTTGGCAACCATGTCCACAG